TGATCTATTGAACATCATGATATCATGTAGAGCTTCACAAATGTTGTGAAGTTTATAAGTATGAGGGGTTCTCTCACTCAATAGGCTAATTTTTTAGGATGGACTCTTCTTTTAGTCTTGTACTCATTACATTGGTACTTTTATTGAGAGACTGGTGTCACGGAAAAGCTATCCATAAAAAATTCTAATTAATATAAGGCCGAGTGAAATGCCATAGAGTGAAGCCGCTGGGGCTCTTACTTTATGCTTGTGGTTGTCACAAATGACAATTGGAGATATTTCATATTTATAAAACAGGTACATTCATGAACATGAATTTGAATTATTTAATAAAAATTTGTCCCCCCCCCTTCACTGTGCAAGACTTTAACCAAGAACTAGTCTCATGTCTTATCCCACCACGGGACGGGCGAGTTGTCATCAAACTAACACAGAAAAAAACACAGAACATGAAACTTCTCAACTTAAATGAAAACGCAACCGTTGATTGTCCTACAGATTTACGAGTGAATGTCAAAGATTCTGAGAAGTCAGTATAATAATAATTAATATGATGGAAGCAGAGAAGCATGTAGTCTGGAAGGAACGAGATGCATGCCAATCAGATCAACAGAGGAGAGGACAAGAAAAGCCTGTATATATATTTAGACAGTGGAGTGGGTGTTTGGTATAAAATTAAGTACAAAAGAATAAAGACAAACACGGACTTGTTGTCTGGAACGTTATGTATCAGAGTGCCGTTTCCTTGCAGGATTCATAGCCCCTCGTGACCTTTCCTTTTATCTGTTGCATTTGCCTCCTAATGGAACATGTCAAACTATATGTTTAGCTTCGTTTGACACAACTTTCTCATGTTTTACTCTCCAGAACCACGCTAATTATCTGCAAACTAACAAAGTTCTATGCGACAATCGCTGTCTTTTCTATCCCCTTTTGAAATTTTAACACTCATGCTTGTATCGATAGATCGATGTATCAATCGGTATGATATAATATATTATTATATTCAGCGGTGCGCTTGTATGGAAGGCGAAGATGGGTCAGTGAAACAGACAAAAGAGAGTGCAGAAGAGACAGAAGAAAGAAACTCGGTAGCTTAATTTGCCGTATGGAATACAGATTTTGATTCCTTGCTTCAGAAGGTTTGAAAAAGAAATAAAGAAAAGGAGCTCGCGATCTGTGACAGTGAGGGTGATTAACAAGTTTATGTTTTTTTTGGGTGAGAGTGCGATTAACAGATTAACATAACATCATAAGGATGGAGCAGTGTGTAATGATAACGTTGGTGAGCAGTGAATTAGAGGAATAAAAAAGGTTTTTTTTTTGGTGGGGGGTGGGGTTGGGGGAGTATTTTTAACCGTATTCGGTCTGAGTTCGAAGTTGTCGCTCCTTGAAATTCCCGGAGAGGTTTTGTCCAATAATAACAAATATGATTTTTATTTGAAAGGTACCGGCGGTGGTCATGTGATGGGAAGTGGGGTTGGTCCCCTTTCACTGCGTTTTAGAAATTAGAATAGAATCTTCTTGGCTCTTGAACGTGTATGGAGAGAGGGTGGGGGGGAGAGAGCAAGGCATTGTGTTTTTATCTGGCGGGTGAATTCCTGTAGCCATATATTGTGGTGGGCTCGCTAGGATCTGTCTCAGTAGCTGACAACTCGAGAGGGAAAATCAGCCTTTCTTTTCTAGATTTCCTTCCTCTTGTGGGGTCTCTCTCTCTCTCACTCCCCCCGTTCTCATTGAAGCCCATTTATCCTTCTTCTCTCTTCATTTCTCATCCAAACGCTGTAAGTAAATCATACTGCATGATTCACCCATTAGCACCTCTCTCTCCGAGGGGTCCACCTTCATGAACCCCACCTAATCTCAGGTTTACGAGCCAGCATTGATGATCACATAATTAGTTCTGATTATTAAACATTGTATCTGTCATGCCAATGAGGGAGCCATAATTCCTGGAACAACGATTCTGTGACCCAGTTGGAATAATGAGGATACTATTTAATAACCGTGAAGCGCTTGCATGGAATAGAAATTAACCTTGTCATGCATGTGAAGTTAATTCATTAATAATTTTGCCGTTGCACAGTTTGAAATTGAAATGTGAGAGGGAATACAGAAATGAATTAGAGAAGGGTTATAAAGAAAAAGAGACAAGAGAGGGGGGAAACGGGAAGAGTTCCCAAAAATAAGCATGTAACATGAACGAGGGAATAAGGTGGGGGTAATAAATATATGATGATAAGAGGAAAACAACAAAAGGGGGATCACGAGAGTGGCAATACCCACAGCACAGATATGCATCAAAATAAAAAGGACCAGTGTCTGTCTCCATGTCAGCCGCTGCCACGGTACAGCGCTCAGCCTCAGTCCCTTGTGCATGCCCTGCCAATTTGGTGTTAAGAATATGTCACCACCAACACTACTTAGGCCCAAGCACCTTCAAATCAACAATGGCCTTACTGTTGTTAATCAATCCCCTTAGTGCACCTTCATTTGGTAATTCATCCAGCACTGCTTTTGCTTTGCCTAGCTGATTAGTTCATTCACTCCCATGTATATTTCATTTACTGTTTCCCGCTTGTTAATTTGGAAACTATATATTATGACTTTATTTGTCTCTCTATACTATTATATATATAGGGAAAAAGGTTGACAGAATTTAATTATAAACACGTATGGATAATGATGATGATTATCTTAACGATGGGAATAATTGTTGGCTTGTTGCTAGCTAGTCTTCAAGTTTCAAATTTCTCCATCTCAACACTTTCCTCTTCCAAAAAGAAAGAAAGAAAGACTTTCGTTCTCGCTTTTTGAGATGGATCACATGCATGTGTTATTTAATGTACCTTTTTTTGTCCTTAGCTTAATGAGACTGGTAAGATCTGCTAGAAGTAGGAAATAAATTGAGTATTGTTTTATATGCATATAATGCCACGTCAATTGGATAGTCACGAACTGCTTCTTTGCTAAAATTAGCCTGTATTTAAGGGTTAATTAGAGTACATTTTTGAGGGAGTTCATGGGTCAGCAATGTGCCCGTATGATAGGCTTAAATCAAAGACGAAGGTCCATGAAATGCTGGAGAAATTGAGGGATGCGTACGATCGTTGACTGCATCAGAGTACTAATAATGAGCAATCACTGGTGGGTTTGGTAATACCGGCCCGCGTACACACCGTAATAACTACCGGCTAATAAGAGAAATGAACGTAATTAAGTACATATGACCAACTGGTCATTTTGAACATAACCTTATAATCCGGTATTCCCGTTTTATTTAACTCCCTGCAATGCGTAGTTTGAGCGTTCACACCAGTGCACATCTTTTTTCGGGGAGAACAGTTCAAAAAGTTGTGGCTTGTGGCTTCTCCCGGAAGTTAAATAGCTCGGGGTTTCAAAAACTTTTGAGAAGGCAATTATTATTGCCTATAATGTTTCTAATCATAGAAATCGCATTGAATATGAGAAAAGGGAAGAAAAATGTAAAGCGAGGAATCATTATATTTGGGGGTGGGAGAGTTTCACTTAGATATATATCCCAATAATGGGAATCACAGACATTATCAAGATCATGAGTCCTATAGTATATCTACCCCAATAATTACCCATTGCCTTGCTTTGGCCCTCCACATCCTTCCATGTCCCTACTCTTTAATTCTCACCCGTTACATTTGCAGTTCAACATGTGCCAATACTAATTCCCTAAAAATTACAACAACAACAACAAAAAAGGAAGAGAAGAAGGTAAAAGGTAAGACGAGGGGAAGAAAATTAAATATTGAGAATTATCATTAAAGGTTGGGAATATCTGGTGTTATCAGTGATTCTTAAGTGGATGATAATTCCCTTTTTGTTTTCTTTAATTATTCCTGGCACTAGGATGCACATTCTCCTGATTCTCCACGGGCAATGTTAAAAGGCAGATGCATTGTGATTGTGAGAAGGAGAAAGAGATGGGAGGTGAAAAAGACTGTAAAAATTGATTCAAGGGGAACTTTCGGGACCAATAATTTAAACACCTGAACACGTCAGCAGAAGGATGGGCGTGGAAGAGCCAAAGTTGGAGGCTCAATGTAAAAAGTAAAGAGGGGGGAAAGCTAAACAGTGGTGGCTAGGGAGATGCAGCTAGGTATTGTATTCTTGCGAGTAAAAGGTACGAGCGGCCGAGAGAGAGAGAGAGAGAGAGAGAGCGCATATAACTCCGCAGCTACATCACACACACACACACACACACAAACGATATTGAAGTTTGAAATACGAATTTTTCAAAAAGAAAAAGAAGCCGATGGAAGAAGAGGAAGGAAGAAGAAAAGGTGGAGAGAGGGGGGAGGGAGGAGCAGATAGGATGAAAGAAGAAGGGGTAGAAACAGAAGGAAGCAATGTCGTGACAGAGACAGAGGGGAGTGATTAATTGGCAATCACGTAGTTCGATGCAGCCATCACCTTAAAATATCTGCTCTTTGCAAAATGTTTGCATAAACCTGGATATGCCCATTCCAAACTCCCCGCCCTGCCCTTGCTTCCAAACACTGCCCTCCAGGTTCTCTCATCAAACACTGCGCTCCCGTTGACCCTTACTTTTCATCACTCTCCCTTCCCATTTCCTTCTTACAAGATTATATATTTTTGCCGAGCAGGATATAATAAAATATAATATAAGTGAGAATAAAAATCAAGCAAGACAATTAAGAAGTTTCTGAAAATGAATTAGGGAAGCGAAAAGTTGGGAGGGGGAAGAAGTGGCGATCGAGATTGGGGAAATGAAGGGCGCCATGTTGGTTGAGTGGGTGGATCCATGTCAGAACACCCCCCCCCCTTCCCTCCCTCCCTCCCTCACACATACGCCAGTCACGGGTTTGTCTTGAAAGGCCCTTATTTCACAGTCCCAGACAGACAGACAGACACTTATTCTCTCTCACTACGTGCCCGAGGAGCGTCTCAAAATATATGCTTCTCTATTATTATTCTCATTATCATAATCTTCGTAATAATGCCCCCTCCCTCCTTCGTTCTTACCCACCTAGCTACATCCTTTTTATTTGTATCTCAGGATAGAAGATAAATAAAGGGGCGAAGCATTTGCCAAATCGCAATACACAGGAATACGATACGACTTACGAGCATTCACAACAGTCACTCTCTCCCTCTCCTTAAGTATCCACGGTCTCGCTCTCTCGCTCTCTCTAATACATCACATGAGCGATATGGCTCTCCTGCTGGACAATTGCGATGGCATATTACTCTCCCTGGACTCTCACAAGTCCGTGCCCGCTCCCTTCCTTACCAAGACCTACCAGCTCGTCGACGATCCCTCCACCGATCACATCGTCTCCTGGGGCGAGGACGACACCACTTTCGTCGTTTGGCGTCCCCCTGAGTTCGCTCGCGATCTCCTCCCCAACTACTTCAAGCACAACAACTTCTCCAGCTTCGTTCGCCAGCTCAACACCTATGTAATTCTTCCATCCTTCTGTATCTCACTGTCTTCTCTCCCCGAAATCTGAGTTTTGCCCCTTTCTTCTTTTGGCATCATTATTCACAGTTTGATCTTGTGTTTCTGAACGGAACTAGGGTTTCAGAAAGATCGTGCCGGACAGGTGGGAGTTCGCCAATGAGTTCTTTAAGAAGGGAGAGAAGCACTTGCTGTGCGAGATCCACCGGAGGAAAACAGCTCAGCCTCATCATCATCAGAACCATCACGGCGTCGGCGTCGGCGTCGGCGTCGGGGTGCCCGCTTTCTTTCCCTTCCCTTCCAGGCTCAGCGTCTCTCCTCCCGGCGACTCCGACGGTGAACAGAACAATTGGTGTGATTCACCGCCGCTTGCTTCTCCTGCTCCTGTTTCTTCCCTCATAAACGGCGCCAACTACAGCTCCTCCTTCACCACTCTCTCCGAGGACAATGAAAGGCTCAGGCGAAGCAACACCATGCTCATGACCGAGCTCGCACATATGAAAAAGCTTTATAACGACATCATCTACTTCGTTCAGAACCATGTCAAGCCAGTCCCTCCTAGCAGCTCCTATCCTAGCTCTTTGCTGTCCCCGCCTTCTCCTATGACTATTACTACTGCTAATGGTTCCGTGGTGCAAAGGCCCCTGAACCAGCTTTTGGGTTATTATTCCATGAACAATAAGCAAGCTCCGCCTCTCGTGAACTCACCTACCAACACATCCAAGAGCACCATAACCATAGTTGAAGAGCCAAGTAGTAACAGCTGCAAGACCAAGCTCTTTGGTGTGTCGCTTCAATCTAAGAAAAGGGTGCACCCCGAGTACGGTTTTAATCCCGCCAATTCATCGGACACGGGCAAGGCTCGTTTCGTCATGGAAAGGGATGACTTGGGCTTGAATCTCATGCCTCCCTCGACTTGTTAGTTACTTTTAGATTCACTTGTTTGCTTTTCTTTTCTTTTCAAATTATTTATTTCCCATCCTTAATTTTGAGTCTCATCAGACAATGGCAGATGATATTGATGGATACTGTGTGCGTGCGTGCGACTGCTTGTCATTCTGTGTACATACAACTTAGTGCCCCATATTATCTTTGCTCCCACCCACTCATCCCCCATTGACGGAGGGTGGTCGTGGTCTGAGTGAAGATCAAATGAATCCAAACTTTTTAATGTTCAAACTGCTCTTTCTGTTAACTAAAAATGTCTTCGTTTCCATTGGTTCAATTTATTGCTTTCGATTTTGGTATCTTTTCTTATCTGAGTTGCTCTCTGCACGCTTCAGTTACATTAATGCCAGCGGCAGGGGTTGATAGAGAGAAACGAGTTCCTTACAGTTTCATTGGGTCAAAAGCAGATAACTGAGAATAATGAGCTAGGCTCTAGAGTAGCTGGTTCGATGGGCCAAAAAAAAAAAATCTCTAGGGCTTTCTCTTCCCAGCCCCCATTAATGGTTTCAATATACTGTGCCGGCAAGCAAGTAGCAACGCAGAATGCTTTGCATCTCGATTCAAAACCCCCATGAAAAGATGAGTGATAATGCTATAAAGTAGCTGACAGGTAATCACGTCTAGTTGCTCCAGAAAGAATTCCACTCAGAATGATTGCGCTCGTAATTGTTTTCTCCCCTTCATGTTATTCATATATAATTATATTATCATTAATTCAAGAGTCGCCAGAGTATATACTTATGATTTACGGGGAAAAGAAGTTATGATATCCATGTCGCGGGCAATAATTCTGCCTCATGTTTTAATGAATTGTCAGTGGGGTAAAAAAAGTAAAAGCCGGTTCCCTCAATGAAAACAAAAGGAACTGCAGGGAGAGGGAGAAGGGGGAGAGAGAGATGTCAGATTGGAACAAAATAATAAAAACTAGAAAATCAAGATGTGAATAATCCGAAGAAAGCGAAATGTGGGAGGACACTGACTAAAAATGTTATTTGAGATGTTTCTGTCAAGGCTTCTATACTTCGTCTTCTTCCGACCAGAAACCTTTGCCTTTTCCTACCTTAAGTAGTCATCTGATTAACGTATTCGCAATTCTCTTTGGATTCCACACTCTTTTTCCCTCCATCCCTCCCTCGTTCTCTTGGCTTCTTCCACAGGCTACAACACCAATACTGGGCATTGCTATCACTCGCAAAAAGTGTGGGGCTTACCCGCTGCTATATGAACCATTTGCGCCCTTTGCCCAAGAACCCTCGTGTCTTTTTTGCTTGTCGTGTCTTGACACATCCCTATAAGGGCAAATTCTCTCATAAATGTTTGACCATGCTTTTCTTCGCCTTCCCTGCCCATTATATTAGATTATTCACGCCACAAACTCAGAAACTCTGCGAGAGAGAACGCAAGCTAAGATATTTCCGTTCTGGGCGTCTAGAGCCTCGAGCAGAGCAGATCGATAAAGATTCAAACTAAATTCAAGACAGACTTACATATAGATTAAAATAATAAAAAGCTGTAGCATTTTTGTGGCGCAGTAACATAATTAAGGTGGTCTGTAACTGTTGGTCACTAACAACAGAATAGAAAAAAGAGAACTTTAAAACGAGAAAGGCCTGCTGTTTTCAGATGCATTTTTTATCCCACCGCAGTGAGTGGAATAGAGCTTCTCAATTAATGAAGCAGTAAAAAGACTCTCCCGTTGAAATATATTTGCAGTGTACTGTGGAGGTTGAACCAGAAAATAGAATTAATACAAATATCACAAAACCAAGAACAATATAAGTGTATTGATCTGCTGTAATGAAATATGTAATCAAGCGGAATAAGTTACAACACCGAGGGTATGAGAGGAGGAGGAGTATAATTGATTTGTCTTTTGTGGGTTGGGGAGGGTTGCGCGTGATAACAAGCGACTGCACGTGGAGGTGGCAGGAATGATGAAAGAAAGAGTAAACTGGATTGGATTGAACAGGTGAAAGCAAAGGCGGGTGGGTGCGGGTGGTAAAGACGCTTTAGGAAGTGCGCTCCCTTCTTTTTTCAATTCTTCTGTGGGCAACGCCCCCCTTTGACTGGTCATGTATTTTATATTTGCAAAACTATTTCTTCATATTTTCCTTACGAGTATTATTCCCAACGCCCATCCAGAACCAGATGGAACCGTTGGGTGGGATCGGTTGGGCTGAAAACCAATCATGCGTCGGATCCGGAACTCTTGAAAACTAGCCCAAAAATATAACGGTGAGAATCGGACAAACAAGCTAGAATTGTTTTGTTTTTCTTTTTTAAAATTTAAAAAAACATAATCTAAATCTCTATATTTTTTTATATTTGTAATCTCTTTATTTTTATTTTTTATTATTTTAAATTCCTCCATGAATAAAGTATGAAAACCATAGAGGGACCTTAAATAATAAAAAATAAAAATATAGGGATCAAAAATATAAAAAAAAATTATGATGATTAATAGTGAAATGTGAGTAAAGTACAAGAATTTAAAATTATATTTTTTTCTTAAAATTTTATAACCCAAAACTATGTTATCATGCATTCTTGTTTGTTTTTTTTTTTTTCGTTTAGTGTTATTTGTATCTATATTTGACGATTTATTAATGGATCTGGTTAATTATGCATGGAAGACTGTACTAACTTAATTGAACAATTAATTTGAATACTTGATGATTTTAGTGATTTGTAATGGAGAATAAATAACATTTTAAGTTGGATATGGAGATTGATATGAATAAATAGTACAGGATAAATTTGGACTTGTATGATCATATATGGATAGATATTGTTTGAGTTTTGGCTGCAATTTGAGTCTCAGATATCATTCCAGGGTTGAATTCTTGGAGATATGTATGAAGAACATCTACTAGGAAATGATGACCTTTCAATGGCATTCGGATTTCCAAATGATTAATTTCATGGTTGTTGACTGTGAGAGTAACTTGAGAAATCAATAAAAATATTGTTGAAGTTTTTTCACGTGCATTGTTTAAACAATATTACTCACGCCATCATAAATTATAAGAAAAATTTAAAGGAAATTTATTGTCCCAGAATATAAAATAATGTAAAAAAATAAAATTTTATTAATAATACTTTTTTTAATATTATCTTTTAAAAGAAAAGATAATTGTAGTGTAATAATTAAGAATGTAAAAGCACTTTTGAAATCTTATAATTTGTTTTTGAAAGTGTAAATATGTAACGTATCATTGTTATATATTATTAATATATGTAATTTGATTTTAAATTACCTTATAATTTGAAATAGGAGAATATTGTAATTGGGATCAATCAAAGTCTTGGAAAGTAGCGCCCCGCCAGATTCAATGCTAGATCCGATTCCATTTTGACGACATCGTTGGTCTACAAAAAAATCAATTATTTCATTTTGTTTAGTTCACCTTTCATTATTCTCTTCTTTTTATGTGTCGTATATTTCTGAACCAATATTGGGGAAAGGAGGAAAATAAAATCAGGCGAACTGCGAAGCCACGACTTCTTGGGCCCTCAACGATTACAAGTTCTCTTTTTGTGGAGTAAACGTTAATGATTTAAATCGCATTTCCGTTTTGGGCCTGCTCTCTAACACAGGAAAGCCCCTTTTCTTTTTTTTTATCAGGAGTCTATGGACAAACACCCAAAACAGTGGCCGGTTGACAACACTGCGTCGGCGTCCGGTAGGGGCCTATTGGGATAGTTTTTGCCGCTTTATGTTGTTTACCTGGGTCCTTGAGGCACCCCAAAAAGAAGAAATATAAAAACACATACAAACAACGTGAATACCCAGGACACCCCATGTCGTGTTGTGACCAGTGTGTCTCCCTTCTAAAAATTCCTGCTGAGCTGGTCCTTTGTTCTCTAATCCCTTGTTTGTTATTTAATTAAGTATCTTCTTGTTCTTGTGTTGCATTGGGTTGGGATGCGTGAAACTCGTCTTACAGCATATTTAGATCAGCATGACGTTGGGACTCAACCACAGAAACAGCAAAGTAGGCAGTGCCGATTGCGATCGGCGCCAATACGAACTGCCATGCTAATTGCCTCATTCCAGTCATAGACTCCTTTTCTTCTCCTCCACCTCCAGATCGGACCGTGAACCCTGACAAATGGTTGTGAGATTACTGGACAGTATGATGAATTACGCAACTGGGCAAACATAAAGTTAATGACCCAGCTCGTAAATGATGACAAATGATGCTGATACGAACATATAATCAGATGCAGCCATTCTGTTTATTCACGCACCTGGCGGGGACCATTACAGATTGTAATACATCATTGGCCTTTTTACCTTTAAATTATTCAAAAAGCTTCAATCATATGCTCTGAGCCTGCCCTTGCGTGCGTTTCCGAGAGAAAGGTGGCAAACATTAATTCAATAAAATATCTTTCACTGATGTCTTCATAACAACATATGAATCAACAGAGCAGTAAGGAATCGTTGTGATGGAAAAAAGACCGTGAATGAAAAAAAAAAAAAAAAAGGATCCATCAGCACTCAAAAATCTCCTCTCTAGTTTAGAGAAGATGGGTGTCACGGCTAATGGAACGGTTAATAGATGAGTTCAAAGAAATGAAGAAAAGCTTGGATAAGAAAAAAATGGCCAAAAACACTTGTCTATTTCTTGCTGGTTTTCGATCACTGGATCTGGAAATGGCATTCTAATGCTTATTCCATATAGGATAAGAACTCATATTTTACGACGAGAAGAAAGTCGCGCCATGCGTTTCAGGGGGACCCGTGGAAACAGGATGTCTCGTGCCAAGATGAAGCGTGTACCTTAAAGACTTAAATTAGCTCCTTGCCTAAGCTATTCAACTATTTCAAAATATATATATATATACCTTAAAGACTTAAATTAGCTCCTTGCCTAAGCTATTCAACTATTTCAAAATATATATATATATATATATTATAAATTTGTAAAATTAAATCTAAATTCTTTATAAAAATTTAAAATCAACAATCAGCTCATGAATGTGCATCGAATTATCATGTGCCGGTTGGGGTTCACACATTCGGCCCACATTAGCTCTGACCACATAGAATGGCGGTACCTATTAGATCGTAATCAATTCTTTATTATACAAAAAATGAAAAGAAAACTCTAGAGCAGTCCAAAATTTTTTTTTTTTTGGGTAACACGGATAAAAATCTTATATAAAATGAAAACAAAAGGGCCGAATTGGCAAGAACAAGAAAGAACGATACATCTATGGAGGTTGATGAGAAGCACTTGACATTATCACATCATTTCAAGGCGCAATCGTCGTCATCATGGATCCCTAGTATTTGTTGAGAAGCCAAATGATAAGCCGTGATATATACTCTCTTTGATTCAAATTAGAAGACATGTTTTTAATTTATCTTGGTTTAAAATATAGGGTTAATGAGCAAAATAAATCTTGAAACATTGTCTGAAAAGCACTTTCAACCTTAAACTCTTAAAATGTGCAACATAAATCTAAAATTTTAAATTAATAAAAAATGAACCCTAATTGTTAAATTTTTTTAATGTCATTACTGTTCACACAAGTACTATTCACCGTGAGCCTCTAGTTAATACTAACGTGTCATTGTGAATTAGCGCCACAAATCTTAAACTATTACGTTAGTAGCATTTTAAACATTAAACCTTAAAATTTTAAACAAATTATCCCACTATTTATGTATAAAATGTTAACTATTATATATATCAAATTAGTCTCAGTATGGTTCGTTGTGGTAAATGCATTGTTGACTATGTCGAATGATCTATAATTTTGTGAAATGACATTTTTTATCCATTTTTTTCAACGCTTTCCAATCGATTGGCATCTCATGCTTCTGTCTACTCTACAACTCTAATTTAGTCCTATTTTAAATAATGCTTATTTATTTAATGGTAAAAATTTGAGATCCCATTTAAAAAGAAGTTTAAGTATTATAGAATTTTACAAACAATGAATACGAAAGCTGATGATTTTATCAACGAATATAAAACTCAAATTAATTGGTTAATTAAAATTATCTAATATTTAAACTACTTTTCAAAATGAATCTCAAGTTTTCACTATTAAATAAATAAACATAATTAAAATAATATTAAATCAGAGTTATAGAGTATATAGCAGTATGAGACATTAATCATTTGGAAAACATTGTAGAAAAGGGGCAAAAAATATCATTTCACAAAATTATAGGTTGTTCACCATAGTCAACTATATATTCACTGCAGCGAAACATACTGAATTTAATTTAGTTTATATAATAATCAATGTTCTATACATAAACGATGGAGTTAATTTGTTCAAAATTTTAAAATTTAGGAACATAATAGTTCAGGGTTCAAAACACTACTAACATAATAGTTTAGGGTCTGTAGTGTTAATTCACAATGACACGTTAGCATTAATTGGGGCCCACAGTGAACAGTACCCTCAGTGAACAGTACAATATTAAAAAATTTAACAATCAAGGTTCATTGTTATGAATTTAAAACGTCAAAATTTATTTTGTACATTTTAAAAGTTCAAAGTTAAAAGCACTTTTCAGACAATAATTCAAGATCTATTTTACTCGTTAACCCTAAAATATAAGCCACTTAGTAGGTTTTAATTTTTTTTTTCATTTTACCCTTGTATATATTAAATTGATTTGCTATGTAACCTTATTAGTATTTATTATATTTTTTTCATTCTTCATAATAGCTAAAAATTTATTGATCTGCAAAGAAGTTCATGCTTTCTCATATTATAATACTTCATTAAAAATAATATCTCTCTCATTTAATTTATTATTGAGAGTTGAAGAAAAAGGTAAAAAAGGCTTATGATATTTATAATTAAAAATAAAGATGTAAATGAATTTTATCAGTGTTTGAATTATAGTTAAAAATATTTTATATTTTGAAATTGAAAATACATTGCATTGAATTACCTATCCGCCCAAGGGATGGCTGCCACGTTGGGGGCAGGTGGCATATCTAACGACGACAGATCCCCACTGCCACCTACCCGGCCCACTCACTAATATAATTTCTGACACCTGGCACGTGCGTCGGTCTTCTCTCGGTTCCATGAAAAAAAAAAAAAAAAACACCTTCATGTTAAGGCAAAGTTGATTGACTCTCTCCCACGCGACACTCGTATCTCTTTCAAACCCAATGGATAAATGATTCTGATTCATGCACCTTATGGATGTATAAAAAAGTACTCATGCTTCCCTTATCTTAAGTTCACTCTTGTTATAGCGCATACATCTCTCAACGCTTTCAATTCTTACACCCTAAGCCTAATTGTTCTTAACCCCTAATTTCCCGTCCTATTACGAGATCCTTAATGTTAACTCATGAGCTTTGCATTGATCACTCAATCATGTCGTATACATTAGTATCTCTGACCGTCAACATCAACGGCTCATATGGCCTAATGCTGTTTGGCCTCGCAATAATTGACACGCAACCCGTGTTTCAATTCATTTTTTGATTACAAGCAAGATTCTTTCCCGAATAGGAAACATAAATATTAATATCGCCCTGAAAGATGAAGCCCAACCACTTAATTTGTCAGAGAATAAGAAAATTAAAGCGTCATGTGTGATCATAACAGAATTTAGAATGGCTGGCATTTATTTAATGTACATCTCACTGTATGCGGAGCCACTCTAGTTATTCAACTATATAAACTTGATACAGCTAGCAAGCCAGTCTGCGTTCCGGATATTTTTGAGCATCCATAACGTTTCTCCTCTTCTCATCAGTACTGCAAGCTGCTAAGCCTTGAGGCTGCGCATTCTCATATAACTCTCATACCCCCTGTAACCATACACATATAGCTAGATGGACTGTGGCACCACTGATGATGCACCAAACATGTCATTCGCATGGGCGTCGCATGTTGAGATGGACTTGACGATGCAACCCCACCAATTTTCAGGAGCTTACACTGACGACTATGAAGCGACAGGCTTGCCTGTGCTCTGCGGAACAACACCTAAGATCGAGAAACCTAACTGGTGGTCGCTCCCAAGTGCAATTACCTCAACATCTCAGGGTAACCCTACGCCAGCAGAACCACAAGAACAGGCGTCGTCGGAGAAAGGGAAGAACTCGATGAGGGAGATGATATTTAGGATAGCAGCAATGCAGCCAGTACACATAGACCCTGAGTCAGTGAAGCCTCCAAAGAGGAGGAACGTCAAGATATCGAAGGACCCTCAGAGCGTGGCGGCTCGCCATCGCAGAGAAAGAATCAGCGAGAGAATAAGGATATTGCAGAGACTGGTGCCAGGTGGCACTAAAATGGACATCGCCTCCATGTTAGATGAGGCCATTCGCTACCTCAAGTTCCTACAGTTCCAGGTTTACTCCCTCCAACGAGCCGCCTCAATTTATTCCCCATCACCACTCCCTCTCTTCATGTCCTCTGCTAATCCCGCCACTAATTATCTTTCTCTGCATAAACGTCCCCATAATCCTCATCATTACTGCTGAGATGCCTAGCTAACTTCAAATGTTATAACATATGTTTCCACTTTTCTCTTCATGTATGCTTGACTGTTTTTTTAAAATCTTTTTACACAGTAAGCTTGTACTCCCCTCTCTGGAATATTCAGTTTTGTTATTCATGGCTAGCCGCAATAGCTTCTCCTGGTTTCGTTGCCTTCACTACTCCAATAGATCTTAAACCCGTTGGCACGAAAGAGTGTATTTTGAAAAAGCGAAAGTCGATTTGCGTTATTTCTTTATAAGAAATGAAAAGGAATTATAATGTGGGCGCACGCATGTCTTCGTATAGAAATGGAGAGCGATCGCTTGAAAACGACAAAAAAAGGTGAGGCAGACAAGAATAACAAAAAGATGCTATATATTAATTCAAAATTTTTAAATTCAAATTTATAAATATTTTTATTATATATTAATTATTAAATTTAATTTTGTTAAATATGAGACTTCTCACATTGTTCCACCCACACTTGAACGACTATGTGTTGATGCAGGACTGATGGAATTAGAATGTCTCGAATGTAGATGCACCGAAAATTTGGCACCGCTTAACGAATGTAGATGCACCGAAAATTTGGCACCGCTTAACGATGAAGGTGACAGGCCTCAAAAGTAAGTTTTGGAGAGTAAGTTTATGGAATTATGTGCGATAATGGGTGAGAATAATAAAAGATGAGAATTGCGCCAGAACATGCACGAGAAGTGCACGTGATGATCTGACAGATTGGTTAAGTTTGATAATTGGGGAAGGCTGAGCCGTCGTTTCTTGTCAACCAACACACCTTGACACGTGATCTCCGTCTACATGGTCAGCACAAGGGAGCCATGTCACTTCACGTATCTGTCCACGTCGGATATTCAATAGTACTACACTATATTCCTCTATTTTATTCATAGAGTTGGGGAAATATTTATTTTAATTTTAATTTTATTTATAAAATATTTTAATATTTTTTATTTTTATTTTTGTTATTTCACCCCTATTAAATATAAAAAACTTTATTCACTGTTAAAGTATTTTATTTTAAAGTAAATATATTTAATAAGAATAAAATTAAAAATTTATTGACTTTTTAGATAAAGTTAATAAAAATTTAATTTTTCTTTAATTTTAAAAAAATATTAAAAATAATTTATAAAGAATATTGAAGGACTACATCAACATGCCATATTCATTTTAGAATTGATGCTTTTATCAGAATTCAACTAGAGAGGCAGGAGAATAATAGAGGGGAGCTATAAAAAGACAAGGCAATTTGGTCACAGGAAGCTATGCGGAGACCCATGTGACCGTCTTGCCAGGGCACCAACACAAACGAAAAGATTTAACTTTGATGCAGGCGACTAATTTATTGGAAGTTGAATTCTCCTCTACATTCATGCTCTATCCGTTTTTATTTATAAAAAAGAAATTATATCATGTAATTTACAAAAAATAATTAACTATATTAATTATATTTAAAAATTAAACTACAATATTTTTTAATTAATTATGTTAAAAAATTGTTTCTCACGACTAATAAAATTAAATGAGATAATTTAAAAAATTTACAATAAATATTTATTAAAAAATATAATTTTATTTATATAAAAAATAAATTAAAAGTAATAATTTTTTAAAAAATAAAAACTGAGGAAGTATCTTTTCACCTTTATCAAGTTTAGAGCTCCATAATCACAGTACACCTACGTACGCCTATCGGATTGGAACATGATGGGTGTGACTTACTTGAATGTTACATTCTCCCTAGTCCTATTTGTAAAATAGAAATTAAATATTTATTTTAATCTTATTTATAAAATATTTTTATAATTATTATGTTTATTTTTATTATTTTATTCCTATTAAATATTAAAAAATTTATTAAATACTACCGCATTTTATTTTAAAATAAGTATATTTAATATTTAATAGGAATAAAGTTAAAAATTTATTAAATTTTTAAACAAAGTTGATGAAGTTTAAAATTTTTCTTGATTTTAATGAAAATGTTGAATTAACTTATAAATAGCACCTAAGGGTGTAATAAATTTACAGCAGAAGGCTTTATTTATTTTTAAAATTAATTAAGAAAAGAAGAGATAATAAATTCAAAGAGATCACTTTATTTATATATTTTTGAATGTAAAGAAGTTTGAACCTCTGCCGTTTCTGAGTCGATGGGGAAACGGAGTATGGGCTTTAGATTATTGATGTCGCCGATCATTGCAGTATGCAAAGTGGTTTTTTTCCCCCCAAGCGGAACAGTAAAAGCTGTCTCTTTCGGCCTTCACAGCTGGTGACTGGTAAAGTTTGGAATGATTCAAATGCAAAACTGATGTAACAACGAATGGCAGAATGAGAGCAGTCAGTGGTATAACAACAAAACATGGCCTAGTGCCTTGGAAGGAGTCTACATCTTCTGGCAAGGGCTTTTGGGTCGGGCTAGCCTTGCCCATGCCGCTATGGGTGAAGAGGGGAGGAATTATGGGGAAATACAATAGCATTCAACAACTGAATACGGAATGGACACTTCTGCAAACCGAGATGGCCACAAAATGGATCCAGCCTTTTATAAACCGAAAGACAAATGAGCGTGCGAAGTAACTCCCTAATTATTCCCACAGATTACATGTCATGTCAACATAACATAATACCACCACAACATTACCAACCTTACACCAAACCCAACTCTCTAGTAACACGTGATGAATTCAACTCATCCAAATTTAACTCTTTATTTCTTAGTTAAATCTCTACCGTTTCTATTGCGAGGCAAGCCCTTCAACCTGGTCTCTTGCGTTCTTATAGCGCAACAATTACTGATGCACGTCTCAACGAAATCAGGTACTTGGAGGGAAATAGGTAAGACAAAATACGAACTCGGAAGGTACAGACATCGTGCATGAGTCTGGCCTGCGCCAATACATGCATTATAAAATATCGGTATTCAAAGGTGGCTATGATAATTTTCAGTGCCAAAAAGGGCCATCAAATGTCAAAATACTGGTTACACTGCTGCAGAATATGCATTCACATCCTTTATGTGACGCATTTGAATCCCTTCTAAAAGCCAGTCAGAGCAAATCAATCTTTTAGCAGAATGCGTAAGAAAGAACATGGATGTCAATAGTAGAAATTTCATGCTAGTTCGGAGGCGATAATAAAATGCAGCCTATTTATCAGTCAATATTCAAAGGAAAGCTGAGGGTTAATGGGTAATACCACAGAAGAAAGCAATAATTTGTTTCCGCTTTGAAAGTCAAAAAATAGTCTAATAACGCGCGTAAATGATTCTTGGATATCTAGCTAATAAATCTTTTTACTTATCAGCAATCTGTATCCATTTGACAAAAACTTACCATGCAGAGGCATGCAATGATGTGATTTTTGAAATAGGACAAGCAGGTCTACACTCTACAGTTGATATTTTACAGGGAAATTGACCCACAAGCAGGTCTACACTCTACAGTTGATATTTTACAGGGAAATTTACCCAGCATCAGACGAGATGAGGACTTAACAATACTGGACTATTCATCAAAAAGCATGGCAGGTGAAACAAAAACCCAAAGAACCCATGTGACTGCTTCTACGAAATGACATGGCCTTGTGGGGAGTTCTAGCAACTTCATTGGCCTCGTCGGCTAAAACTGAGCTTCTCATTTCCTGAGCTTTCTTTTGAGCTGATCTCAGCTTGCTCATGATCTTGTCCATAGAAGATGCTCTCTTCTTTTCCAACTTCATCTAAAAGAACAAAAAAAAGTGCGTATAAAGGTCCATTGTTTCTGCAAGCAAAATTCATGCTGATTTAATCTGCCCAAAAAAAATTTACACCTCTCTTGTATTCTAAAAATAGTCAAGTCAGTAGGAAATACGTTACAATTTGCTGCTCAGGATTAACAAAATAATGTTGAGGAAAAAGAGGGAAATTTGGCAGTAAGAAAATATAGGAAATCTGTTACAAGGAAGTTACCTCTAGCTTTCGTATTGCTGCCTCAGCTTTTGCCTTCTGTAAGTTTTCCCATGCAGTGATTTTGGCCTCCTCCCTTTTCGCCCTGGACAGAAAAATAGGTGGCATTTTAGTAACATTAGAGATAGCACTAACAATTGTTGAGTAGCATACTGCGAGATTTTTCTCGTGACATATACTGTCAGATCTTCAAAAACTTCAGTTTTCTAGTTTTGATCATGTAGGATGCTGTTGTGAAGGTCAACTTGTCCACCCATTGGAAGGGGATGAAAATAGATAATCGAGTACTCGTGCCTGCTCGGCTTGACACTAATCATATCAATAGATTCAATGCTAATGAAATATAACTCATTTAGTTACCAAATCACGATAAATTCCTAGACTAATGTGACCTGCAAGGAATCACTTCATTCTCAGAACCATTTTCTCCTTATTTAACAAAAGCAATTGAATAAAAGTAATATAATAGCAAACAAGCCATACTTTGAGTGAGTTTTTGCTGTTCCAGTCAGGTCCCAAGATGAAGAATGAGGTCTTATTTCTTTCTTCTTCCGGTTGTCAAAATTTTCTGAGTCTTTCCCTGAGAAGAGGGATCTATGCTTCTTGGACCATCTTGTCATGGTGACTCGTTCATCAACTTGCACATCTTTGATATCCATTTTAGAGAAAGATATACCCCGCGATTCAATGAAGGGCAGGACAGATGGTGTGGAGGCAGAGAATGGTGTCCTCACGTTGGGAGAGGAACATTGGCTACCCTCTGGGCTCATCTGGGTTGCCATGTCCCTCCTTAAAATAGCACCAGAAACATTGGTGGCGGCATCTTTGAAGCCACCAAACTTTTCCTCTGTTAGAACCAATGGAAAGAGAGCAAGATAAGATGCATAGAAGCAAAGTTTAGTTGTCATATAAGAAAACCATCATCTATAGATATGATGACTGCTTTGATTCTGCATATCAAACAAATATTGACACGTTTTAGGGAGTTTGCACGAGAGGAAAGGCTTATTTAAAGTTGGATAACTAGATTCCGCACAAATTTCTTTTAGCCAATCCTTTTCAGCTCTTACACACACAGGATCCTCACAGTTTCGTTCTACGAGATTAAAAATATTTGGCGATGCTTTGAACTTCCAAGATAGCAATGCAAGCACATAAAATCAAAATCTAATGGAAAAGAAGATTGGAACAATGGATATAGTACCTTGGAAAGGCATTGCCGATTGGCTCTGCATCTCGGAGCATCCATGCACACTAACCGAGCGGGCCATGCAAGATTCTGCTTGCATCGGAAGGACTCCACCGTGGCCAATGGATTGAATTGTCAAGCCATCAGTTGAGATGACATCAGCTGAAAATGGAGAGCTAGCCATGAAATTCCCCGAATTTTCCCCTTCGAACATTTGCGCTGCCGGTGAATACAATGAATAATAAGCATCACCAGGAGGCCCAAGTGGACCGCTCTTTGACTTTGGCCTCCTTTGGGGGGGAGGAGGAAGCGAAGCCCTCCCTGTGCTATCTCTTGAAACGGGACTGAAAATCCATCTCTCGGCATCCTCCCATTTGGATGGCAACGTTCTTCCATTGTTGAGAGGCAACAGGGCACCAGTGACATGCTTCCGGCTAGCATTTGTGTGCAAAGGAACTCTCTCGGAGCTCCAGCCCTTTTGCATTGCAACACCCGCTTTTCGATAATCTGGTGTGCCAGGACTAGGAAAAGCGTCAGATCTTGGTGAGTAAACCGAGCTCTTTCTCATGTTTCCCAGTCGAGGAGAAGTTCCGGTCGCATTGTTGAGATCTAAAGAAGCAGGCCTTCGCCTGTCTGTCTTCTTCAAAAAAGCTTCGGACCTTCTCCTATTTTGACATTCTTTATAGAGAAGAGAAGCAGTAAAGTGAATACGCTGGATTAAAAATAAACTAGAGCCAAGAGACTTTACTTCGGGTACCTTTGAGAGCTAGAGAGAAAGAGTTCCTCGCTGAACCCAATTGCAAGAGTTGGTCTCCGTCTTCAATATCACCAGCATCGCTGTCATCCTTTTGAACTGCGTGAAATTTATGGGGAGTCCAGATAGTAAGTCAGTGGACAAGTCAAATTTAAAAATTGGCCAGGCCTAGTCAGTTTGCGGATTCTGAACTTTTCCAACAAAACAAAACTAATGAAGAGTACCTTTTGCTTTTTCTCCCTTTCTAGACAGACGACCGTGCTTCTTCTTGCGCAATACAGGCTTGTCTGGATCTAGATCTGGACCACTCCAACTCTCATGAAAAATCTCATAATCATGGCCTGCCAAATGCTGCTAGAGATCCGAGGAATCAACACAAGAAACTGGGCGAATCTCAAAGTGATGAGCTAAGATTTGACCAATTACACATGTGCCATCGCAATTCGTACAGTGAAATACCGTTTATTTATCCAAAAACAGAGAATTAGATCTTCTCGTCATTTTGCTTCCTTCCAAGAGGCAGAAACTCAATGTCAATTTCATTTTTACAACTTTCGTTCAAATTAGGAAGCACATAGATTACATGACTAATTACACGTCATCGCATGAAAGAAACCGTAGTTCAGTAAATTTACTGCGTGAAGCTCCTTTGCTAGATGAGAAGGAAATGTCATGAGAGAACGCACAAGTAAACAAATCAGTAAATAAATAACACATGAAAGAAAATGAAAATGCAGTCATTGTGAGAATTACCAGGGAGATTTCAGAGGCTAAGGAGTCGTGGTCATGAGCATCGGATGCAAAGGAGCGGCGGTCGACGCTTGCAGAAGCAGAGGAGAAGAGGCTGAAGCTGGAGTCAAGCGTGAAGATGACGGAGTCAGGGCTAGTATCGCAAGGCCTGAAGCCAGGTCGACCAGACAAGGTTCGTTCCTGAAACCCTAACTCCGGCATTGTCTAGCTTCCAAAGACCGAGAAAAGTAAAACTAAAAACATTGCAATGGCGGGAATGGAAGAGGACGGTCTGACGTCTATGTCAATAAATAGGAATAGAAACACGAATAAAGACAACAAAAAATCAGCTTTTAATGTCTCAAGATCGAAGACTTTGTGTATGTTCTTTAAGGGGGAATTTTAATAGCTTTCTATTAGGCGGTGCTTTGTTGATCAAGTGTCTCTGCTTGCCGGGGCCTTCTCTCCTTCCTTTAAAGCTTCTTTCTGGTTACTACTCCATTTACCGTGCGACTATTCCCATTACCATGGGTTTGTCTGGTTGTTCTTGTGAATTCACGAAATGGTCCACCTGTTGCCTCTCTAATGATTCAAACTAGTCACAGGGTCCTTTCGGTTTTCAAAGGTACTAGAAATTTGTCAGTATAGGACAAATGCGACATGATTATGTCTGTCATGTTGTTTACCGTTAAAGATCTCAGTCATTTACCAGGTAAAAAGCTATTGGCTTTTGGCCAGGTAAAAAAAATTACAGGTGAAAGTGAAAATGAATGAGTTGGTGACAAGGAAAAAAAAAAAACAAGAAAGAAACAAATAAAGTGAAAATGAACGAGAATATTCACAAGCTAACCTTTTGTGACAAATATTTTGACTCGCAGTGGTCTGAATTGATCCATGAGGCGGAGTCAGGGCTACCTTGGGAACTTTGCTTAGAGCAGGTAAATCTTGGTCCGTGTTTCGATATTCTTACATTTGTTAAGAAAATATTTTTGCATTGTTAAATTTGTTAAAAGGAATAAAAACTAGAGAATGTTGGCCCAATAATCGTGAAAAATAAAGTTTTTAAAAAATTATGAATGAGATTTATAAATATTTTAAAATATGACTTATTTACAAAATTAACGGAGTTCTTTGTGAAAAATTAAATTTTTTAAAATATGGGGTGTTTGGGTTTTTCCTTCAAAATCATGGTTTGGATTGGCGTAATCGATTAAATGACATATCCAAACAGGCACAAAATCTGAGACTCTCGTTCTTACCCTCGCGCCAAGCGTCTTCTCCAAAGTCCCCCGTGTCCGCAGCGGTGCCCCTTCTGTCTTTTAAAGCAAGATTGCGGTGATTGATTTTCGCTATTCTTCCATCAAAAACAGGATTTGACAATGGGAGGGTGGGGTATAGGAAATCATTCGCGGAAACTATTTCAAATGTCAATACATCCTTTTCAATTTTTTTTATTTTTAAAATTTCGCATATGCAATTTCTTTTCAATATAAAAATAATCAAAGGCCATTGAGATCTTGGAGCATAATTAAATGCTATGGCACCATGATGTTTCATGATAAATAATAATTTTATATATTTTTATCTTTTTAATTTAGATTTTTAAATATTTATTTGAGGCTAATTGAATTTAATTAGATATTATTTGATTTTATTAGCTAATATTCAGTTTTGAAATTTCAATTAATTAAATCTTTGATTTTAAAATATAAATGATATTTTTAATATTTTTGCACAGGTGCTATTTAATTTTATTTTATTTGTGCAGATTTTCTAGATTTAATTTGAAAGATATTGATAGAGAATATTTTGAATAAGAAGAATATGGGCATGCTTGGAGATCAAATCAAGAATTAAATCTTTAAAATTTTGTTTAAATTTACTTTGGGTATTTTAGTGTAGTTTTTAATTAGGATTATTTAGGATAATTTTATCATTTTAATAAATTATTAGATTTTATTTTCTTTTGGAAGAGACGCAGGAGGCGCATGACATTATATATATTATATATATAAATGAAAGAGAAGACTTGGACGACTTGGATAGAGGCATCATGAAGAGAAGGGGAAAATAGGATAGCAGCAATCGCAGTTCATTTTTTTCTTCAATTTCTCTGACGATGGCTTGTCAATTTCTCCTCTTATGTTCCTTGATTTTTAATTCTATGGATAGCTAATTTTCTTAGTGTGATCAATTACAAACTATGATCCTAAATTTTAATCAAAGTCTTTGATATTCAGAGAAGATTTTATTCTAGCTTTATTTCAATTTGCTCTTCTTCTCTTTACCTCTTTAACTGCTATTGCTGATTAGAGTAGCTTTATTGCATAATTTTTGAGTTATAAATTTTATTTGAGGTTTTACTTGCTATAATCGATTGATATAGTATTATAAGAGTAATTTGGCCTAGCTTGGGGTGATTATCCATGCTTTGTTTCTGGTATAGCTAATATAGAACAGTTGTTAGGTTGTGGGTTAAAAGAGATCTTAATTAATCTATAACTTAATCTCTTGTTTAATTCTTGAATGATAATTTGAAAAATATATAAAAAAATCAGAATAATAAAGGTAAATAAAATTGATTTGTTTGGTGGACTTGGAAGATTAAGTTTAGGTGATTGGATTGTGATTGATTACACTGCTTGTTCTTGATAATTTTCTCAATTGAATTTTCTTTATTTATCTAATTTAATTTAGATTTTTTTAATTTTATTATAAAACCCCCTATTTTTTAGCTTTTCATAATCATAATTCAAATAGTTACTCTATTGACTCTCAGAGAGACGACCTAAGTTGCTATTTACTGTAAAATCTAGTTTTTATTAATTTTGGTGTTATTCGACAGTAGTGTCAGTAACATAATTGATATTTAGTATACATGCAATTAAATTTATTTCAAGTTAATATATTGATTTATTTTTATATAGATCAACTTTATTAATATTATATTATAAAAATAAATGTCTTTTATTATAATTTGTACAATCAAGTTTATTTTAAAAAAATTATTCAAACATATTCATTTTATCAAAATTAATTTTATTAATTGACTTTTTCAATTGAAAAAAATTGATTATAAAAAAAGTTGATTATATTTTATTATAAAAAATTATTCAAACATATTCATTAATTTTATTATAAAAAATTGATTATATTTTTAAAAAAAGTCATCCAAACACCCTTAATTTTTTCTAACTTTATTTAGTTTTTAAAACTCCATTTTATATAAGCTAGTCAAGCACTCTCAGTTTGTTCAAACTCCGTTTAATTCCTAAAATCCCATTCTTCCTAAAATCCCATTCTGTAGAAGTTATTTTATCCCCAATTTGGTAAATCAATTTTGCAAAGTTAATTTTAGAAAATATCATCTAGATATCATCACATTCTATTGATTATTTCTTTCATAATTATTAGGTTGTTAAAATGTAGTGAACTTAAAATGATGTGAGAAATCCCACATTAGATAAAATTGAGCTTAATAATTAATCTACAATAAAAAAAATTATTTATAAACTTAAATCTTGAAATTTTTATGTAAGTCATAATGTTCTTTGGTCATTCTTTTTCATTTCTTTTCACTTATTCAAGACTTGTGTGAGCCACATCCTTTGAAGCTCAAAAGGAGCCAACTTGAGGGAAGATTATTAGATTGTTTAAGCATAAATGAACTAAAGATAACTTGGAAAGCTCACCATCGAACAAAGTTAGCTTAATAACTGATGTATAATAAAGAGGAATGGTCTATAAATTTAAACCTTGAAGCGAATCTTGCTTGTTCCTTCTCCTCTTATTTTAGACTGTCACTCTCCATTCCTAACAATAATAAATTTTCCTCCATTAAAATCCAAACACATCCTTAATTCCAACAAAAACAAAAAGGTTTATAAGCTAGCGGATCTAGTCCGATGGATTTCGAACTTCTTGCTTGTGCAAAGTTCAAACTCTTATCTTATGTTGTAAGGAGAAATAAAGGCTTAACTGCGCTCTGCACCAGAAATAGAACAGCTTAGCCACGTCGTCAATTTGGTGAGGCAATGGAGAGTGGCTTAGGGCGGTAAGGGAATGCAGAGAAAAATTTTGACTCTGGAGTTCATTTTTTCCTATCTCATTTGCCATGTCCAGGCAGAATTTCATGTTCTTACCTACTGACGTGTTCGCTACTCCTCTTTCTCTCTTTCTTAAACACTCCCTCTTCTAATCTCTTAAAGATTTTCATACATAGATTAAAGATGAAACGTTAAAAATATAACTAATACGCTAAAGTGCATGTTCCAAAACCAAATTAATTCAATTCTAAACGCTAAGTGCATGTTTGGATAGCCTCTAAAATTAATTTTAGAAGTCAAAATCATGATTTTGTGAAAATAAATCCAAACACTCCTAGTACATTTTAAAATCAATTATGAATTTAAAATCATATTTTTAAAAAAAATATGCAAACACCCATTATACATGCCATTGTCAATGATGAACTCAAAACCATATTTTTTTTTAAAATTCAAACACCTCTACATATGTCAAGATCAATCATAAGTCCAAGAATATGATTTGTAAAAAAATTTATTTAATTTTTTTGATAATTTTTTAGAAAAGTATTATTGAAAAACAAGTAATAGTAGCTTATGAGATAATTAATTAGGATTGAATTTTTGTCCTGCTTCCTATCCCATTTCGCTGTCTTGATAAAGTGAACAATATAAAATAAAGGCCTGGATAGTAATATTTATTAAATTTTTAAATCACATGACTTATTAAGTTTAAAATAAAACAATAAAAATACATAAATCACAATAATTTAAAGTTAATTATTAAATTACATTAATCCTAATTATAAATGTACAACTTAAAGTCAAATATACATGAGACACAATATATTATGACAGCAATTATAAGTAATATCTAGATTATAAAAGTAACAAATACAGACAAGTCAGGCACAGCATTAAATTATTATTTTTCTTCTTTAGTTGAAATATGTTAAGCTAGTGACTCTTCCAAAAATAAAGTAAGGAATACAATATAGACAAAAGTTATTAAATAAATTGATATAAAAATAAATTATATTAATATAATTAATATATTGTAAATAAATATATTATCCTATACTGCTTATCCTATGTCATTAAAATTATCAATATAAAAAGTATTAGTTTTAAGTAAGAATTGCACGTATTGAAATTATAATTAATTTAAGTATAAATTATATTAATATATTTAATGTGTATTTGTAAAATAAAATAATATGTGTATATATATATATATAATATTCGAGACGAAACGTCTCGATGGCAATCCCCTATAATGTTTTCAAAATTAAACAGGATATTAAATCAAAAAGGTCAACGGTTCATGGTGGTCCAACTATATTAGTCCAATGGTCAAACTAGTAATATAATAATTAAATTAAAAAATTATATATGTATATAATAATACAAATAT